TCACCACGTGTCCCAAACAGGCAGGTCCTTGCTGGGTACCACTGTTTCCACACACACTGTTCTCTTCTCTCACACTCCCAGCCTATGGCATCTTTATGATCTCATCGCAACATCATCTCTTCAAGTGACATTTCCCCCAGCTGTTCAAGGGGCTGGTCTCTTCCTCTCCCAGTGGTCCTTCCCACCACCACCACGTTTTATAGTAATTTTAGCCAATATGTCTTTTCGATACCTAATGGAATCCTTGTGTGGCTCCTATCACAATGGTTATGCATAGGCAGGTGTCTGGAGGGAGGCAGTGCTGTGTGTGTGTGTGTGTGTGTGTGTGTGTGTAGGGATGGAGGTGGAGGCTACTGAATGGCATGATATAGGAGGTGTCCTGGGACTCTCATAAGGGAAGCAAATTGTCAACATTTTGCAGGTCACGGTGGAAAAAGCAGCCCTCTTTAGCAATTCAACGGATACAGAGTATGGCTTGAGCAGAAGTATCAGCAGAGACGGGGGCACAGACTGGTTCTGAGGATGGCCCGGAACTTAGGAGAGGCAAGTCAGAGGCAGGGGGCACAAAAGTGGGTAACAGAAGGCCACAGTCCATTATTCACCATTTTTATGTCTATAGGTAACACCTGTGTAAACCACATTTGGAACGACATCTAGTTTACTTTCCACAATATTCAGTCAGGCATCCTAAACTATGTCTTTTGCTGTTGTCACCAGGTTCTGCATTAAAGAACCTCACACTGCGCCCTGGCCAGGTGGCTCAGTTGGTTAGAACATCGTCCCTCTAGGCCCGGGGTCGGCAAACTGCGGCTCGCGAGCCACATGCGGCTCTTTGGCCCCTTGAGTGTGGCTCTTCCTAAGCCTTAGGAGTACCCTAATTAAGTTAATAACAATGTACCTACCTACAAAATTTGGCTCTCAAAAGAAATTTCAATCGTTGTACTGTTGATATTTGGCTCTGTTGACTAACGAGTTTGCCGACCACTGCTCTAGGCCAAGGTTGCCAGTTCAATCCCTAGTTAGGACTCATACAAGAACCAACCAATGAATGCATAAAGAAGTGGAACAACAAGTTGATATCTCTTCCCCTCCCCCGCCCCCCGGCCCTGCCCTCTAAAATCAATTTAAAAAACAGAACCTCACATGTACTAGGAACAGAAACTAGATATTCCAGTCAAGATTTTCATGTTTGGTGAAAGCAAACATGAATTTTTGTAATGACGGCTCATTATAGAAGTTGGCTTAAACGAGGCTTATTTCTGTCTGGAAGTGTGAGTGATCCTTGTCACAAAGCAGGCTCCTGTGTGCTGACTGACTGACTGACCGAAGAGTGTATCCCCCTCTCCTTTACCTCTCGGGATGATGCTGGGAGCACCTGTTAGTTTCTGGCCTGTGTGGTATTTCGCTTCTCCTACCCACTATCTGCTTCCTTTCCGTGATTCGTCTTCCTCCCCTCTCTTCCTAACTGTGGGCTTCCTGAACCTCCGTTTCTTGACTCAGTTATGCCTCCTGCATAGCCTTCTATCCTGCACTGTGCGACTGATGGGCTTTCCAAGCACCAAAGAGGATCTTGAGCAATGAAACCCAAATGCCACATCTGGATTTTGGTGTAGAAATTTAACGGGTCATCTTCCGTCTCTGCCCCCCTAACACCCCTCCCCCGCAACCTTTCCCTCCAGGTATCACCAGCCAGAGACAACCTCAGATGCAAGTTTCTATGAGCATCTGGCCATGAAGCTCTGTCCCTGAAGCAGGAATACAGGGCGGGAGAGCCGCCTTCCACCCCTTGGGCAGTGGGAACAATGAGCTAGAATCCAGAACAAACATGATCAGAAGGAGGCGGGAAAGGCTGGGAAAGTAGAATGAAAGCCTTCTCCCCCTCCCCACCCCGTGAAGGGCGGCTCTTCCATCCTCCTCCTGTGGGACCACGGCCAGGGCTGGACTCACAGAGCGTCTCCAGACGGGGTGTGTTTCAATAGCATTTTCACTCACGGTCCAACAACAATTTACAACAAACGCCGAAGAAAAGCAAAAGTCATGAGCTGTGCTGTTCGTCTCCTCCCCCGACTTAGTTCATTAGAAAAACCAATCGAGGCATTAATGGCTGTCTCTGTTTCTAACAGGCTTTATTCTAATTAGACTCACACGTTATTATTTCAGTTGGAAAAAAGGTCTGGGTCTGTAATGAGCAGGAGGAGTGTGACAGCCTCCAGCCTCTGACAGCTCCTTGGATCATCTAAGGGAAGGATCCCCAGGGTACCAACAGCAGTGACAACAATTCCAGTATATTGGGCTTTTCATTTCCAAGAGAGAATGAGTATTAACTAAACGGCTTTAATCCCCTCCCCTCGTGAAGTGTTTAATAAACCCAAATCCTCATCCTACAGACAAAAGGGAGGCTATGTTAGAAGCTTTACGGCACACAGCTGTCAAGCTTTCTCTGACGATGGCATTCAGGTGACCTCAAAGATGCTGTTCCCCAGGAGGAGGCGAGCAGGAGTGAGGATAAGAGGAGCAGGGATAAAGAAGGTGGGTGCACATGTCTCTGGGCCACACTCAACTGATGTTCTCGAGCAGGCGTGGGCCACTTTCTTTGCCAAGGGCCAAACAGTAAACACATTAGGCCTTGCATTCCGTATGGTTCCTGCTGCAACTCAACTCTGGTGATGTAAGGTGAAGGCAGCCACAGATAAAAGAAAAAAAAAAAAAAAGAGCGGGGCTGTGTTCCAATAAAACTCTGTGGACACTGAATTTGGAAGTTCACATATTTTTTTCATGTCAGAAAACATGATTCTGCTTCTTGTTTTCCCCACATTAGAACATGTAAAAAACATTCTTGTCTGGTGGCTGGCTTTGGCCCCCCGGCCGCTGCAGAGACGAGCACTACCATCAAACAGCAGAGTTCTACAAAATGGCGTTTTATAAAACTGTTCTTATTTTATACACAAGAAAACCATCAATCAAAATCAAATTTAAAAAATTTTCTACAGCCCCATCTTCCTAATAAATATAGCATGTTCAAGTTTCTCTTAAATCTCTGTTCACATATATGTCATTTTAATATCACTTCAATCTGTTGACACATTTAACATTATCTTATAAAAATTTTCCCTGTTGTAACTGATTCCTTATACAGTAAACCCTTGATTTTTTTGGACCTGGATTTAAGGGACTTCGGACTTAGCCCTGGCCCATGTCAGATTAAATGACACCCCCTTGCTGAACTAGATTTATCGGGTGATCACTTAATAAGTTATATGATGTCTAATCACTGGGCTGTATGCCTGAAACTGATATAATACTGTATGTCAACTGTAATTGAAAAATTAAAAATTAAAAAATGTACTCTATAGTGGGAACACTTGTTTTTAACTCATCATTCTCTCTATACCCCCAATGCAAAAGGAAAAGTGGAAACTGAATTGCAGATGGGAACAATGAATTTCACTTTTGAGTAAAAAGAGGTAGAATTTCAATTATGGAAACGCACCAGAAAGGAATGAGGTCATTTTAACGCCATGTCAGATTTGTATATGTTGTTTAAAAGATAAATTACAATTTGGATTTCAATTTTTACAGACTACCCCTGACTACTAAGCAGATCTTTTTGTTGCCAGAAAGCTCGCAGAGGAAAAAAGTCCAAATAAACTGAGAATGAAAAGATCTTCACCAAAATACTGGGGACAGATAATTTCTTTTTATGCTTTTCTTTACTAAAACAAAACGTATCGGCAAGTTGAACAGCTTTTGAACCAATATGTGAAACTTGGTAAATTTTCCATCTGAAAAGTCATGCATAAGCCAAAATTTCACTAAAAATAAAAGTAAAATATTATATTCCTAAAATGAGGTTTTGGCACAGTCAGGGAGTGATATAGATTAAACTACCATTTAAATTCATTATCTATCTCTATTTTCACATTGGTGATATTTGCTGGTCTTTTAGTGGTGCATTAGATTATACAATTATTCTTATTATACAATTATTCTGCTGCTGAAATACTGATGAATTTAAGACCTCTTCATTATCTTCCGTTGAGTGATAGAGATCACAACTGAGAAATTCATGGACAAATCCTCAGATAAAAGGACCTAAAAAAAAGAAAAAAAAAGAAATAAAAATTAAAACAGAAAAAATTTCAAAGGTAAAATTGGCCTGTGATGCCTTCCTATAGTAATGACATGTTCTGAATTTAAGATTTTACTCTTCATCTGAATAAGCTTTCCAACGATAACACTCCGATTTAATAGTTAAAATTCACCTTTCTGCAGTGATGAACTTAAATTCTCCAAGGATGCAAGCCTGTAATCATGAACCATAGTCCATACTTCCTTCAGCTGCTTAGCATATGCTAATCAGAGATCATAAGTATGGGTCCAATTTCCACATGGATCAACCTCGCATCTCACTGTCAGTGTCAGATCCACACATCCCTAGAGGAGCAACTTGGAGACTCTGCTTTGGAGCCTCAGAGAAGTGGGCTCCCAACGTTATTATCATTATTATCATCATTGCAAACGGGGTAAGTTACTCAAGCATTCTGAGCCTCAGTTTCCCTGCCTGTACGACGCAGATAGTACATGTCTCACAGTTATTACCCTGAGGTGGCTACTGATTGCAACGTGCACACGAGGTAAGAACTTAAGAGTAGTGTCAGGCACTAGGTAGCTGTTGGCAGGTACCTTCTCGCTTGCAGTCTGAGGTCAGAGCAGGGCCTCAGGGGCAGACAACACACAGTGAGCAGAACACTGTCCCTAGAGACAACGCGTCTCTCTCTGGTGTTGCCCACTTTAATGAATGATCAGGGGTAGCCCAGGGTCCTGGGAAGCTTCCTTAGACACGAAACATTCTCAGTCACATTTTCTTGGCGTAGGGGGAACTTCTGTTTCAACTCTCTCCCCAGCCCCTTACAAGAATAACTTCGAGACACAGGAACCAGAAGATTGTTATCCTCACCCAAGGGGCAATTAGTCTGGAAACATGTACTTTGACGCCATACCTTCTCGATTTTTTCGTCCAGCATCCTGAAGAATTCTTGTTGGCTCTCAGAGATGTGCATGCTGAAAAACAAATAGGGCACATTTCAATGTTTTCTTAAACCTCCTCCCTCAAGGAAAAATGCTGAGGCCCTAAACTTGGAGGTGGACATTTCTTTATTGCAGACTTTCCCACAGAAATACTCTGAAGTTATAGTAAGAGTAAGTGTTATGACAGTAATCCTACAGATGCATTTCATAAGAGTCTATCAGTGCCTGCGATTTAAGGAATATAATTTCCTGTCAATGTACATGTTATTTACAGGGGTGTTATTGGGAGGTATGTGCCAAATTTTTCTTCAGATACATATTTGTGATTTAAAAAAGGATAGGCAAGCAGCACATGGCATATTTCCACCCTGTGTATAACCCTAGTTATTATATGGAAATGTTTATTTTGCAAAGCATCAGCATGATATTCAGCTGTCTAGATGTGGGCTGGCAGCAAATGAGCAGAGAACTTGACATTGGCCCTGAACACCTTCTGCATTGGCGACAGCGAATGTGCCTCCTGGGGACAGAAATTCCACTGGAATAAAGGAGAAAGTCAGGAGGCAGGTTTGGGTAGCACTTGCCTGTGTGTTTGCTTATCTTACCCCATTTAACAGCAAACCTTGTAAGATGAATGTGGTAACATGGGTAAGCAGAGCCGAGATCACCAATGGGAAGGGCAATATATATGATATTAATTGACCACATGATCTCTATTTAAATGCATGTGATTCACGATCTCACAGAGGCAGCGCAGCGCAGATGTTAGCAGGGGTGAGGCACAGACCTCTGATTCCTCATCTAGAAAACCTTCCGGCACTCACGTTCTATGACTGTTGCTAACCTCCATTCACTCCTTTATTGAACTATCACAGCACGAAAACAATAATGTGTGGTTAGTACTCAACATATGCACATTAGATGGACAAAAGGGGAACTCTTCAGTAAAATCCACTCTCCAAATGGGTCTGCCCTCCTGTGAGCAAGAGTGTCTGGGTTCCATTAAGGAAAAAACAAACACAGCAAACCTCATAGACACAGACAACAGTAGGTGATTAGCAGAGGGGAAGGGGAGGAGGGGGAAGTAGAAGAGGGTAAAGAGGGGAAAATGGTGATGGAAGGAGACTTGACTTGGGGTGGTAAACACACAATACAATCCACAGACGATGTTTTATAGAATTGTACACCTGAAACCAATATTATTTTATTAACCAATGTCACCCCAATAAAGTCAATACAAAAGAATGCCCAGGCTCAAGGGTCCATATCAGGAGCTTGGGACCAAGGTTGATGGTGACGACCCCAGGGTGGTAAAGCAAAACCGAAAGCCTCAGTGGTTTCAGCTTTGTGCGGTTTCACTACATGTTTTGTAATCAATAAAAAACACACAACAAAAAACAGGCATCCCTTTGGTTAAAACAAATTGGATGAAAGCCGCCCAACCCAGAATTAATGAGACAAGGCAGTATATTTCCAACCTCACCTGGATCTGGAACGAAATAGTAACTTTACTTTGGGTAGAGGTCCAAGACAGGAAGTAAACGACCACTTCCACCTTCCCGCTCGCCCTTGGAGAAACAATTCTAACCAAAGCCTTTCATCAGGCGTGTCTCTAGGATCACAACCTTGATACAGAAACGATGTTCCCTCGTCTAAGAGCGGTCCAGCATCTCTGCCTCATTCAAACATCTATGAGGAAGAGTCACCCACCAGGCGCGTTCACTATCTTGCCCCTTGAAAGACAGTGTGTGGACTGTGTTAGAAAAAACTGAGCAGTAGGGTGACTTATTTATCGTCCAATCCTGACACTCTACACAAGCTCTTTCAAACTCTGTTGTCCCTGGAAGTGACAGACACTGCCGGATGGCACAAAGGCTGCACGCGGTCCCTGTCACCTGTGCATCCTCTTCTGTAGGTTGCACCTGAAAGCATGAGGCTTACTCGGCTGTCTCCCAGGGGATCCTTTCAGAGAGAAGTCCCGAAACCCTCCAACGAGGGCAGAGCCAGGATTTGTACTCTGACAAAATAAATTAGCCCATGTTGACTGACTGTCGCTTAGATAAATGTGAACGACCTCTTCTCCTATGGAGACCCTGTCAACACAGTGGCATTAATAATAGTTTTTTCGTTCAAAAGTTTACGCTGCGCTGTGAGAAACAGTCCCTAGGTAACGAGATTCCTGGGTGCTTTCTGATGCCCAATTTGAGGATCGTGAGTGGGGAGCCAGGAGGAGGAAAAAGCACATGGGTTTTCTATGTTTCCTCCAGGTATTGGAAAGGAATAATTGAATTATGATTTAGTTTAAAAAGTATAAATACTTGATGCTAAATTAGATATAAAAATCTTTTATAAAAGCCTGTATGATAGCCCTAGCCGGTTTGGCTCGGTGGATAGAGCGTCAGCCTGTGGACTGAAGGGTCCCAGGTTTGATTCCGGTCAAGGACATGTACCTTGGTTGTGGGCACATCCCCAGTAGGGGGTGTACAGGAGGCAGGTGGTTGATGTTTCTGTCTCATCGATGTTTCTAACTCTCTCTCTCTCTCTCTCTCTCTCTCTCTCTCTCTCCCTTCCTCTCTGTAAAAAATCAATAAAATATACATTTAAAAAAAGCCTGTATGGTGGTGCCTGATTTGATTAATAAAGCTTAACAATTTTAGTAATCCTTGTTTCTCTCTAATAACAACAACTCCAACTGGGAAAACCCAGTGCTGCACGGAGGACAACGTGTAGCCCCTGTTGACCTTGGCAATGCTCTTGTGAGTTAACCCTGTGCTAGCATAGGCCCTTCTTTCTGCGACTTCTCAGCTTCACGAGACTAGAGATGATAACATGATGGAATCTTACTGACAAGTAAGCAAATGAACAGAATGAAGTGGGCAACCCGGCTGGCGTGGCTCAGTGGTTAAGCATCAGCCTATGAACCAGGAGGTCACAGTTCGATTCCCAGTCAGGGTGCATACCCAGCTTGTGGGCTTGAGCCCCAGTGTGGGGGATGCAGGAGTCAGCTGATTAATGATTCTCTTTCACCATTGATGTTTCTCTCTCTCTTTTCCTCTGTGAAATCAATAAAAATATATTTTTTAAAAAAGAAAGAAGGTGAGCAAAATGAGCTTTTGAGCTGAAAGACGCGTGGCTTTCATGTTCAATGACTGAAAGGGAAGTTTCCAAATAATAAAAACTTAAGCCAGAAAAGTATGAGAAGGCAAGGTCCCAATTCCCTAATACATCACCTGCAAAAATGAAATTCAGTTACTCAGTGGGTTCCTGGCAGATCTTGGCCTGAACATGGTTATTTCTTCATGGTCATCATTATTATTTTTCAATTGGACCTCAGGGAAGTGGGGTTAATCCTAGTCCTCACATCACGACACACCCTTATTTGTAGCTCATGCATGGCTCAGGCTCAGTTTTAGTTAATTATTTTGTTTGTTAGTTTTTAAAAATAGTCTCATAAGCACCCATAACACCAAAATGAAAAACAAAAGCTAGGACCTTGACAACCTAGAGCTAACGTACCTCCTACCATGACTTACTTTAGTTTTTTTTTTTTTAACTTCACAAAGAGTGCATCACACTCTATGCAATCTTTTAGGGCTTACTCATTTCTTCTGGCATATTACATTGACGAGGTCCATCTAGCCTTGTGCATTCATCTTAACGAATTTAAATATTAACTTTAAATGAACTAATTTAATATTAACTTGAATATATTCCACTGTGCGAATACAGTGGAGTTTATTTTCCCCACTTTCTTGGTAAAGGCCATTTGGGTGTTTTCTCAATATGAAGGCGTTCTTACCGAGTCGCTGTGATAAGCGCTGGGCGTACATGATTCCATTTGCTCCCCAGCCCTATGAGACAGGATTGCTCACCCTCTTTTTTCTCTGAGAAAACTGAAGCTCCGAGACACCAGGTCACTTGCCTGAGATCACAAAGTTGTAAGAATATGTTCCACCAAATGAAGATGTGAGAATTACCTGCCTTTGTTATTAACAAATCTGCCATTGGCTGGTATGAGATCGTCCTTCCACTCATGGGAAAAACAACAAACCCCCGTTATCTTGTTTCATGCAACTGCATAATAAATGCGTTCCCTTCATCCGTGAGTCAGCAAGTAGGACAAGTAACACTCTTCTCTTGGGCCCCAGAAGGATTTCTGAGTTGAATTCCATGAACCCTATGTTCTGAAGGACAGTTTACAACACACACACACACACACACACACACACACACACACGAATGCTGCTGTGTGGAAAACAGGATTTTCTTCATAATTTTAGAATAAACACGTGAGCCGGTTTAATCAAGTTCTCTGAGAGCTTCATGGCAGTTTGCAAACCTCGCTGTTGCAGTGTGTCAAAGTTCAATTAGTATTCACTCTACACGAAAAAGAAATTCTCCTTAATCCGGTCTCTGCTTAGAACTCAGTGATAAGGGAAGCATTTAAAAATAGCATGTGTCCCGTGGCTTGGATGAAAAGATGACGAGGTTCTGTCATCAGCTATCTGTCGTTAGTGTAGATCAAAGTGATTCCCAGGGAAGTGAACGAGGGAGGTTGTGAGTACAGCATCACACTCACCTGAGGGCGCAAACACCGGCCGTCCCATTATACCGACATTGTGGGGAATAAGTGGACTTTAAAAATGTCTCATGTTCTTTGAAAGTGACAAACTTTAATCCCTGAGCTCATTGACCGCCCCCTGAAGAGTCCTAATCGCCTCACGGCAGCAGCCATGGCTGCAGCAATGCCACAGACACCGGGCTAACGTGATTAGGAACTAGGCTATTTTTGTCTCAATTTCCTGGGAGGAATCAGAGATAACACAATTTATTCTACTGATGATTTTGATTCGTGGGGCAACGATTGCACATATGTAATGGTCACATTTATCCTGGAACGGGGTGGGGCTGTGTAGAATTTATTAATGTCACGCGGACCGCCAGGAGATTTGCTAATATTTAGGGGAGCCCCACAGAAGAGCTCTGCAGCCTCTGGGATCCCAGAGCGCCTTTGAGGAAAAGGGAGTTGGCTTTCATGTCACACACAGTGCATTTTATCACTAAGGTAGATTCAGTTCTAGAACAACCTAGAAAATGACTCATTATTCTCTTTAACTTTTTAATTGTGAAATGCATAACACAGAGAAAACATAGCATGTTATTTGTCTGGTTTTAAATAATAATAAAAGGACATCCATGGAGTCACCACTCAAATTAAGAATTAGAACCTGTGGTTCCACTGTCTTCCATCGAGTCAGAGAGAACCATGATTCTTAATTTAATGTCTTTTCATTTCTTTGCTTGTTTATTGTGTTACCACTTATACATATATTATACATTCCTTCGTTCTGCCTGTTTCTGAACTTTATATGAATGAAACTACCTTTAGGCAGGTCCTACTACTTACTTTACCACTGTAGCTTTACATTTGTGCAATTCTGTCTTCTTTTTTTTTTTTTTAAAATATATTTTATTGATTTTTTACAGAGAGGAATGGAGAGAGATAGAGAGTTAGAAACATCGATGAGAGAGAAACATCGATCAGCTGCCTCCTGCACATCTCCTACAGGGGATATGCCTGCAACCAAGGTACATGCCCTTGACCGGAATCGAACCTGGGCCCTTTCAGTCCGCAGGCCGACGCTCTATCCACTGAGCCAAACCGGTTCCGGCTGTCTTCTTTTTAAAAAATATATATTTTTATCGATTTCAGAGAGAAAGGGAGAGGGACAGAGAGATAGAAACATCAATGCAAGAGAGAATCATTGATCGGCTGCCTCCTGCCCACTCCACACTGAGGATAGAGCCCACAAACCGGGCATGTGTTCTTGACCAGAATCAAACCTGGGACCCTTCAGTTCACAGGCCAACGCTCTATCCACTGAGCCAAACAGGCCAGGGCAGATTCCTTCTTGATATATGCAGCTACAGGTTGTTCGTTTTCACTGATATGTAGTATTCCCATCAAAAGAATATGCCACATTTTTGTTAGCCATTATATTTTTTTAAAAGTTTTTTAAAAAAATTTTAAATTGATTTTTAGAGAGAGAGGAAGGGAGGAGAGAGCGAAACATCGATAGGCTGCCTCTGCACACCCCCTTACTGGGGATCGAGCCAGAAACCTGGCAATTGTCCTGACTGGGAATTGAACCAGCAACCTTTCAGTTCACAGGACAACGCCCAACCAGCTGAGCTACACTGTCCATTTGGGGTTATCCAAGAGCTTCAGGAGCTCACAGAAACAGTGCTGCTATGGATATGTCTGCGGGCACACATGCCCTAGACCTTCTCTACAGCAGGGGTGGGGACCTTTTTTCTGCCAAGAGTCTTTTGGATATTTATAACATCATTCAAATAATATAATTCACTTGATAGAAATTTATGTTGCTGTGAAAAAAAGCTAATAGATTTATTGAATTCGAGTCCCGCCTGCGGTTGCCTTGGCAGGGCCAGACTAAAGGACTTCTCAAGGGCCTTATATGGTCCTCGGGCTGGGCGTTTCCCTCCTCTGCCCTGAGAGTGACGATGCGGGGAGAAGGTGTGTGCAGGTACACTTTTAGTAGATAATGCAAATTGTTTCCCAAAGTAATGGCACCAGTTTAGATTCCCACCAGCAGGCGTTAAGACTGCCTGTGTTCCATATCCCGGTCAACATTTTGTATTTTTTCATATCGATTAGCCATTCCTGTTTCCTCTTCAGTGAAAGGGTTGTTCATGTCTTCAGCCTATTTTTCTATGAGTTCTCCGCCTTTTACTCACGGACTTGTAGGAATACTTTATATACCAGGTATTCTGCAAATCCAACTACTGTCAATTACATGTATTGACATGTATTACACCTGTTCCATCCTTTTTTGGCCTTTTACTTTCCTACAGTGTATTTGGATAAACAGAAGTTCTTAATTTTAATGTGGTCACCATAATTAATCATTTTCCTTAAGATCTGCATCCTTTGTGACTTATTTAAATTCTTCTCTACCCCATAAAGATATCCCCCTTTATTTTCTTCTAACTGATCATTTAAATGCCTGCTCTGTCATATATTATGGACTGTTTTTGGACTCTCCAATCTGTTCCTTCCAGTGGTTCTCAACCTTCCTAATGCCGCAACCCTTTAATACAGTTCCTCATGTTGTGGTGACCCCCAATTTCATTGTTACAAATTGAACATAATGAAAGCATAGTGATTAATCACAAAAACAATATGTAATTATATATGTGTTTTCCGATGGTCTTAGGTGACCCCTGTGAAAGGGTCGCGACCCACAGGTTGAGAACCGCTGCTAGACCAAACTACACTGGTCATAATTAACAAAGCTTTAGAATACGTCTTGATTATCTAATAGGCAAAATGGAACTCTGAAAATACTTTTAGCTTTCAAAACAATATAAAAATAGGAACTAGGACTTACTTTGCTCGGGGTTGATGAACTAATCCCGGAATCTCTTTGTTAGTTTTAAGTCTTGCATTTGAACTGGCACTTTTTTCCTGAAACACACACATAAAAGACAAGATGAGAACCAGCACTTCAGCAGGAGCATGGATTTTCATCACAGAGACTCTGGTTGGGACCCTCCACGGCTGGTTACTTCACAAGGACCGAAGTCCTGGCAAAGAGGTCACGTGGTCCAGGTAGGACCACCAAACATCTTAACAGGGAATGTGGTCACGAAGAAAGCAATTAGCTCTATGACAGCTACGACTCTGTTTAGAAAATGATGTGCAACTGGAATCTGATTTTTAGGCTGAGTTACTGAAAATAGTAAGAATCCAGGAAGAGAAGGTTCTCGGGCCAGGAAGAGCAGAAGGGCAAAATCACAGCCTTTGTGGACTTGCCCAGGTAACCGACTTCAGTGCGTTTTCTTTGTAAAAGACAAAGGCATCCAGTTACTGAGGCATAAAGTTTGCACAAGGCTCTAGCAGTGACACTGACAAGAACAGGACTAAAAATAACGACCGTTTCCCACCCACAGTGAACACTGGAATCGGATGAGTAAAGCTCAGCACTAGCCTGTATTCAAGAGGCACATTCTGGCTGTTGGCCTGATCTGATTTCTTATTCCCAGGAAACCAGCCAGATGGGAAAGAAATTCTCTCAGATCTTAAAATACTGATATATCAGTCAGCACACTAGCTCAATAATACTACTCATCTTTACTTTCACAGACATTACTTAAAAAAATATATTCAAGGTGCTTTATTCTTTGCTCACAAAACATACCCCTAAAATGAAAGGAAAGACTATTCCAAACCAATTTAAGAAGTGACTATACAGACTCCAGGAACCAGGGGTGTGGCAATAGTTCAAGACCCAGGCTAAGGGGAAGAATGAAACTCACATGGGTCAACCCACCTTTCTTACCACATGCAAAGCCATGTGAGAAGGCAGTGAGACAGATGGGCCCTCAAATGAACTCTTCTGAGTTTGTATTTCTCCCAGGATCACAAAAGCCATGTACATCAATGAAATTCCAATGACTTATATGTTCTGGTGGTGGTTTGTTACTGACCACCAACCATGAGCTTATCTGTATAACATTGCTATCCCAAAACATAGGGTAATTTTGCGATTTTCTAAGAAAAGAAAGAATTGCTACAATTCCTTTGCAGTGTATCTTTCTTTTGTGTTAATCCTCACCCCAGGGTATTTTTCCCATTGATTTGTAGAGAGAGTAGGGGAGAGAGAGAGAGAGAGAGAGAGAGAGAGAGAGATAGATAGATAGATTAGTTGCTTTCCACAATGCCTGACTGAGGATTGAACTTGCAACCCAGATATGTGCCCTTGACCAGGAATTGAACTGTGACCCTTCAGTGGGTGGGCTGACCCTCTAACCCAGTGATGGCGAACCTAAGACACGCGTGTCAGAGGTGACACGCAAACTCATTTTTTTGGTTGATTTTTCTTTGTTAAATGGCATTTAAATATATAAAATAAATATCAAAAATGTCTTTGTTTTACTATGGTTGCAAATATCAAAAAATTTCTATGTGACACGGCACCACAGTTAAGTTAGGGTTTTTCAAAATGCTGACATGCCAAGCTCAAAAGGTTCGCCAGCACTGCTCTAACCACTGAGCATACTTTGCAGTCTATTTTACCTTCCTTACCTCACACTAAACTTAAGAATGTTTTCATGAACATTTGAAATGTATGACATAGATATTGTTTCCTCTGCTGATGTCATCAGGGAACAACAGATGAGCTGCCTAATTTCTTACAAAGCCGGTGGGAGAACGAGCAGAGAATTCTAAAGCACTAACCCCAGGAAGGCCGGGCCCAAGTCCTCCCTTTACCCTCAGGGTCACACTGCCTGGCTCAGGGGCCTGGCACTGTAAATTCATCATTTACTAAGTGACACATTTTAGTAAATTTATAGAGCTGTGCAACTGTCACCCCAATCCAGTTTTAGAAAAGCTCTATCAACTCCAAACGCTTCCCCAAATCCATCTGCAGTTATTTCCTGCTCTGAGCTGTAGCCCCAGGAAACCAGTCAGCTTTCTCTCCCTACAAACTTGCCTTTTCTAGATTCATATACATGGAATCCTGTAATAGATAGCCTGGCGTTTTCCACTTGGGTAATGTTTTTGAGGTTTATCCATATTGTAGCCTATTTCAGTATTTCACTTATTTTAATTGCCAAATAATATTCCAGGGTATGGATATACCACATTTTGTTTAGCCATTCATCTGGATTGTTTCTAGTTTGTGGTCATCACACATAATGCTGCTATACATGTCTGTGAGGGCATATGTTTTCATTTCTCTTGGGCAGATTCCATTCCCGGGAGTGAAATTGCTAGATTATACGGTAAATTTATAGTCAACTATTTCAGATGTGACCAAGGTGGCCGCACCATTTTACATTCCCACCAGTGATGCATAATGATTCCAGCTTTCCACATTCCCACCAGCGCTTGGTAATGTCTTCCATTATTGCCATTTGAGTGGGTGTCTCATTGTGGGCTTTCTTTATTTGAAAGACTTTTTTAAAATGGACTTTTTAGAGAGGAAGGGAGAGAGAGAGAGAGGAATGTCTATGTGAGAACATCGATTGGCTGCCTCCTGCACCAACCTTATGGGATCAAGCTTGAAAACCAGGCATATGTCCTGACTGGGTATCAAATCAGCAAATTTTCAGTTCACGGGACAATATAACCAACTGAGCCACACCAGCCAGGGCAAGGCTTTCTTTATTTTAAAAATAAAGTTTGGATTTGTTCTTACATGTCCTTGTATTCCTCAAAATACCTAGTATCTTGCAACACGGAACATTCATATGCCTACTGGTTAGCTGCATTTGCATCCATAAGTCAGTTCTGTGTTTGCTTATAGATATCATTTAACTTCTACTCAGGGTGTTTATTGGGGAAGGGAAGGTTTAAAGAGATGTCTTGCCCAGCTAGCGTGGCTCAGTGGTTGAGCGTTGACCTATGAACCAGGAGGCCACGGTTCGATTCCTGGTTAGGGCACACGTCCAGGTTGCAGGCTGTATCTCCAGTGTGGGACCTGTGAGGAGGCAGTGGATCAATGATTCTCTCTCATCATTGATGTTCTTCTCTCTCACCCGCTCGCTTCCCCTCTGAAATCAATTATATATATATATATTTGGAGAGATGGAGAGAGAGAGAAAGAGTGAGAGTGAGAGAGTGAGAGAGAGAGAGAGAGAGAGAGATCTTAAAAAATGAAACAAGCAAACAAACACCACCAAGAAGGGCTGGAGGAGGAAGGAGGCTGATGGGAGCCTGGGATGGAGCAGACCCAACAGAGAGGGTTGGGCCAGGAAGAGAATTAGACTGGGAGGTGATGTGAGAGATGACTAAGATATTGTTTCCCTTGGCAAGAAACACCTTAATAGTATGTGACACATAAACTACGTGCCTAAAATAAATTGGGGCCAAGTAAGACTAAGTGGAAGCCATTGAAAGGGCCCTCGGCAGGCAGTTTGTAGAGCAGTGTTGTTGTTTTTTTAAAATGTCAACTCTTTAGTAACATTTATATATTTATATAAGTATTACTAATATTTATTACTAGAGGCCTGATGCATGAAGTTTGTGCAAGGGGCTTGGCCCTCGCAGCCCCCGGTTCGTCCAGGAGGTCATTCGGCTGTCCCGTCTAATTAGCATATTACACTTTTATTATTATACATATTTTAAATTTTTCTTTTGCAATTACAGTTTGCATTTAACATTATTTTGTGTTAGTTTCAGGTGTGCAGCACAGCGGTCCCAAGGAGCAGCGTTGTACGTGACCTGCTCATGCTGGTTTCAGAATCATCTGGATGCGCACAGAAACCCACATCCCAGGCTCCACCCAAACTCGCCGAGTGCGTGTGTCTGGGATCCAGGCCCAGGAATCTGCATCTCAAACAAGAGGCCCAGGTGACCTGAATTCTATTTCAGAGAAAAGATACCTTCACACGCAGGGATCCCCCCAGTTGGTTTTCCACATGACAGTTTCAAACAGTGCTGGGGTTCCACAGAGCTGCCCGGGGGTCCACAGAGAGGCCCAGCAGGGCAGGAACCCCTCGAACGGTTCCTACTTAGGGGCTCCATCCGTTGAAAAACGCCCCCCCCCTTTCTCCAAAGTGTTTGCAAACTAATGTCAGGGAGTGACAGTTTTATTTAAACAGCAGATCAAACGACTTCCTCCCCGGCTTGGAATAATTTTACTTCTTTATGAACAAAACGCCCTTGTCAGTGTCCAGAGTAAGTTGCGTTTCCCTTAGTTTCTCTGATGCTGGAGACAGTCACACCACCTGTAATGCCGCTGCTGCTCCCCACTGTCTCTGTGTTGTCCCGCTGAGTCTGCAAGGAGTTAGGCAGCCGCAGCCCTGTGAGGTTCCCTGAGTTGGTTCTGGGTTGGCAGTGTGGGAGAAATCTCATTTTCTTTTTTCTGGGCCCAGAACTATAAAGAAAGCCCAGGGGACAGATGGATGCAGGGAGCTGGAGGCATAGAGAAAAGAAGTGGGGGTGGGAATAATAGCTCCGGAGACTGCTAACGAGGGATCTACACAGGGAAGAGACACCAAGCACTGAATATGAACTCGCAGAGCACTCCGCCCTCCACACCGACTGTGCCGTTGTGCACATGGGAACCGCTGCATTTCAGAAAGTACATGACAACTAGAAAAGGTTATTTATGAACCAGAATTAGGAGATTTAGGGGGACACACACATATCTTTAAAACATAGGCACACCTTCAGCTATACAATAAATGAGAACTCATTCCACATTTGGGGAGTAACCCGTAGTATGTACTCTGTAAGGAAACAATCTCATTTGATGTTTCATATGTGATTTCTCCAGTGGTATTAACATGAGCTAGGACACTGCCTCCTCAAATATAAAGGAATTTTGTCTGTGTCTTTTGAGTGATGATGATCCGCTGAGTCATATTCACTCTGTGAGAATTTCTGAACGTTAACAAGTGACAAGGCCCAAGCTGTGAGATGCAATTGCCGACTTGGGCCCACCAGGATCATAATTATGCAAAGTCAACATTTCCGTTATCATTACCCACCCAAACAGGTGATTAGAATTAGTAGTCTTTTGTAAGAATTCAGTAGTGATGAAGTTGGCCTGAAAAGTCTCTGCTTTAAGGAAATTCTTTTTCTAAAAATTAAAATACAAATAAAATACAGCCATGTACCTCATTTTATATCAAGCAAATGTCAAGTGGGGCAAGTCATTTTTAAAGCACCTAATATTTTTCACATAGTTGCTTCTCAAGGCAGATTGGAAATGTTTAAAATAATCTTTAAAAAGTAAATAGTGCTTTAAGAAATTGCTCAGAAATGATTTCATTATATACCAACCAAATTAGAACAAAGGCTTTAAGATACCATGTCACCGATTACAGAGGAGGCCATACTGTTGTTATACATTACACTGAGAACTCTGAGTTGAGGATATTTTCAACAAGATAATGCATCTCCAAGATTTTCAAAGGAGTAACATATACACACCCAGAGAATTAACTGATCTGGAAGAGCCATAGTCAATTCTTGCCCAATGTGTATCAGTTAGGATAGGGTAGGTTATGTTGCAATAACAAACAACCCCTAATAACAGCAGTTCCGTACTATACAAGTTTATCTCTTGCACATGCTACATGTCCATGGTGGCAGGAGGCTCTGCTCATCCCACTCACAGTGGAACACCATGGCAGAGGAACCTCCTGGCCCATTCTTCATGAATACACTGTTCAATGGTACTTAAGTGCCTGACTGTGCTAAGAAAACAGAGATATAATCCTCATCCCCTAAGAAACCAACAGGAAAGTGAACAGATGTTTCAAAGTGAGAGAAGGACGTGTGGGAAAGTGCTGGGGATGACACCTCACTCAGAGGAGGAGGTCAGGGATGCTTCCTGCCGAGGGGACTGGGCAGGGCTGGGTCCAGGGGAGGAATGCATAGCCTGGTAGGAGGGGAGAAAACATGGCACTCACTGAGAACCATAACGAACCTGGTCCAGTCAGAGAGAGCCTAAGGCGCCGGGAGGGCGTATGAGAGATGTGGGGGTGAGGTGGGCAGGGGCTGGACCAGGGAGGGCTGGGCCTGGACATCTGGATTTCCCCAAAATGCCAGAATTGTGTTTCAGAGGTGGAAGCAGAGAAGCGGTCAGGAAGCTTGTCTGTAAATCAGAAGAGGATCGATGAAAAGCTGAATGTAGGCAAGCAGAACCCGAGTCTGGACTCCGGAGTCAGACCGCCTCTCTGCTTCCTACTGTGGGACCCTGAGCAGGTTCCACAGCCTCTGTGGGTCAGCTCCCTCACTAGTGAAATGGCAATGAAAGTAGTACCTCCTCCCCTGGGGAGCCTGTTGTACAGGAAGGCATCACAAATGACAGCCTGTAGTAATAAGACGGCTGCTCTGGGAATAGAGACGAGAATTGAGTTGAGAGAACTGCTGAGTGCTCACTCTATGCTAGGCGCTTTGCGAGGCTCTGAGAAAAACAACAAGAAAAAGACAAACAAGAAAAACATTGCCAATGCTAAATTATAATTTGAGAATTGAGAAGACTGGAGGTCAACTGAATGTGTAGGGGAGATGGAAGAGGAAAAGGTATAGTGGAGAATGACAGCCAGGTTTCTGGCTTAGCTGACACCTGTTACTCCACAGCTGTAAGGCATAATGGGTGGGTTGACTTTCCAAGTGCAGGTGTTTTTCTGGGCAGGCAAAGCCAGGGCGACATGGCTATCATGGCAGAAACAGGGCTGGTCAGAAGTGCATTTTTCTTACAGGGGATGAAACGTAAGCTTCGGGGCAGAGAAGCGGTGCGGATGGAGAGAACATCTGTCCGAAGGTCAAGAGCTGGTGGGCTGGCCTCACAGTTGTGACTCTGAGCTCAGGGCCAACTGGACCTAGGGGGCCAGGCAATGGTTCCTCTCTCTTCCCGCTTGTCACCTTGGTTTCATTCTTTTCATGGCCTTGTGGCAACCCAGATGCAATCCTCCCAACTCTGTGACCTAACAGGCCTTGTTAGCCCAGTTACACAAACCCCCTGCCCTTTGTCGGGTGTGACCCCTGGGGGTTAGGGGGCATCTCTCAGCAGGAGTGAGGGGGTTGCTGGGAGAAATGAAGCAATAGTGACCACAACACCTTTTATTCTTCTGCCTGTGAACTCTCACCTTGAAGTTTTTTTCCCTATTACTATACATATTTTAAAATATACAAACTCTCTACTGCATGTATTATGATTTTTAAAAAGTGTATTTTTAATTTATTTTTTAATATTTTTATTGATTTCAGAGAGGAAGGGAGAGGGGGAGAGCGATAGAAACATCAATAATGAGAGAGAATCATTGATCAGCTGCCTCCTGCATGCCACACACTGGGGATGGAGCCCACAACCCGGACATGTGCCCTGACCAGCGATTGAATGGTGACCTTCTAGTTCATGGGTCAACACTCAAACACTGAGCCATACAGGCCAGGCAAAGAGTGTACTTATTTATTTTTAACCTTTTTATGTTTTCACATATATGAGTTTTGAGTTTTTGACTGGTGGAAAATAACAAATTTTCTTTTTTTTCCCATTTATTATTTCTTCCATCCCTTCTGTGATTAGTCCTGGTTAACCCTAAATTTAGATCGCTGCCCATACATTCTCTTCTATTCTCCCATCAGAGGTTGGAGCAAACAGAGGACACTAATGTTTTACTAGCACCCCCGGGCTTGCTAGCCAACACCAGCATCAATTCGTTCCTGGTATGATTATTTTACAATGTGGATGGATGGAGCCAGTCACTAGAATTGTATCCACAGTCTTGACAGGCAATAATCCAACCTGGCGTGGTTCCATTATTGATGTACTTTTAGCCCGAGGCTAGGAAAAGACTGCTTGGTTATAGCTAGCATTTGGGTTGAAAAAGCTCTTTAAAATTGAAATAGGGTACTTAGGCAATGAAGAGTAAGCACCATTCTTTTTCTTCCTTTTTTTAGTCTCCTTTTGGAGAAATGGGTGCTGCTAGAAATATCTTCATTCTAAACTTTGCAAACAGAATTGATCCTGAAATGCTAAAAGGGGTGTGTTTAACCACCAATGCCTCTCTTTGCTTATCTTCTCGAGCTTTTAGAAGCTTTCCAGAAAAGCGCCCATGCTTTCCCATGCTCCTTTCTCCACATGTCCCCTCTAATTTGTGTTCCACGCCCATAAGACACGTGAGCCAAGCACTTACTGTTGCTGTGGGAGCGTGGTGGGATGGGGCCCCCTTGGGCAGCCTGACACCAAGCTGGGGAGAAAAGGCAAGAACAAATGACCTGTCATTTCTAATCTCTCTGAGGAGGCTTTCAAATTCAGGGTTTATGAAGGATACAGCAAGCCTTCGGTCTACCATTAGGCAAAGTGGTTTCTGAGTGTTTGATCTCCTGGTCTCCGTTCTTCTCTCTCTAGACCCTACCAGGCAAATAAGTCTGAAGAGATAATTTGCTTGTTGCCTCATTCTTTGCCTCTCAACTTAGGTGAATATCTTTTCCTGAGTAAAAGGCCAAAAAGTGTGGAACTGGCAAAGAAGAAAAATATGTTAAAGTACATGCTTAAGAGCTTTAATGAATGCTCCTCGTTCTTCCAAAGATCCTTGGAGATGCGTCTTGGGAGCTTAAATGTATGTTCCTTCGGGGATATAGTCAGGTGACTACTTATAACATACAGTCTGTTCATTCAGCTCCACACATTTAAAACAGTGTGTGAAAAATCATATTAAGTTAGAAACATTGCTCTCCACACTCACATTTTATGACACAATTTAAACTTTTCAGGGGCACCTGATATCTGTGTTTTCACACTCAGGGTCGTCCACTATTTGAGTCTTCTAACATCGTCGCCCCTAATTCGTTTGACATAAAATGCAGTTTGGGTTGTTGTGTGCTTGCTGTCTTGGAAATTGGATTCTAAGCCACACATGCCCATTTAGTAGTGGTGAGCTCCACACTGCTCACCATTTACTGTATTATTGTGTCAGAGTAACTGTGCAAAGGCGAAGATGATTCACAGAAAGAATAACTAAGTTAGAACTTTTTTTCATTTAGAAACGAAACTGATTCTTACAAAACTGATTCTTTCAGAAGAACTTAAAATGACCCCTGACTGAAGTCAGTGTTTTAGGCTAATAGGCTTCCCCAAATATCAAGTGTGTCCTACACCACGTGACTCAAATACAAGGTTGCATCCACTTTTCTAAAAACAAACAAAAACCCTACAAAAACCCTGCCCCTATTCTGGCATCTACCATAATGTAGCAGATCACTTACAGGGTATCTTTTACCAAAATCCCAGGTTTCCTGATGAGGCTTAATAAAACCAATGGAGCCATTTTTCAACTGGGATACTGAAGTGAAATTTCACAAATATGAATGCTACATCTGTTGTGCAAAGGTCATTTGGAAACGCTAAGGGCAAAAATAACAAAAACCCAAAACAAAACAAAAACAACATGTATGTATGCTGGCACATTTGCCTACATGCATGTTCTCTCCCCCCCCCCCCACGCTTTCTATCACAGTTCTTGTTATAGAAGAGAAACTCCTAGAGCACAGATATAATCATATTTAATTTGTTTCTTACGTGAGGCAATATGTATGTATTTCACTGATGCTCCTGTGATAATCTGACAATAAACAGAGCTTTTGATTCCTTGTCAATGATGGTCTCTTCTAATTACAAAACCTTGACAACAATAAAAATAACAGCTGTTGCGCTGGCCAGGTGGCTCAGTTGGTTGAAGTGTTGTCCCTAACACCAGAAAGGTTTCAGGTTCAATTCCAGGTCAAGGCATGTACCCAGGTTGTGGCTTTGACCTCCTATCTGGGAGCATACGGAAGGCAACCGATTGATATTTCTCTCACATCAATGTTTCTCTCTCCCCCCTTCTCCCTCTCTTCTGTCTTACAATGAAACCTCTTATTTTTAGGCCACTTTCATCTCCATTTCCAGAGACGTGTGGTACCAGCAATTCCTGAGCCTTTTATTCATTCCGCAGTGTAACTGGCTTTCTTGGGTTTGTTAAGTTTGTTCCCACCTCTCTCTCCCTGCTTTCCGCCTTGCAGAATGTTGATGTGTTGTATTCTGTTCTCTTGGTCTTAGAGGATTATTATTATTCCGAAGAGTCCTTTAACTGTTGTTTTCCTAGCATTTCAGAAGGAAATAAAGGAGTCTACATTCTACTTGTCCTATTAATTTAACCTACACGTTGTGTACATTGTTTAATTTTACACCTGTATGCAGTCGTTATTATGATCCTCATTTAGAGCTGAGGAAACCGAGTTTCAGCAACTTGCCCAAGGTCTCCAGGAGGGTTTGACCTCATGCCTTTCTGATATCAGAGCCCAAGCTGTAGGTCACGACCACCTGCAAGCATCCATGGTAAAATAACGGTAACAACTGTTGATTGTCCCTGAGCATTCACCATGTGGTTTGTGCAATAGCTCTGTGAGCTATTAACCCATTTTATAGGTGAGTAAATTAAGTCACAGAATTGTTAGGGAGCCTTCCCAAGATCACAGAGCCCAGAGGGTCTGGCTCCAGAGGCTGTGCTCTTAACACGCCCCAAGGACACAGTTCAATATACTTCGTCTACCTTGTGGATTTCCACAATCTACTTTAGGAACCTACCCAGCTCTGCTCTTTTCTCTTTCCTACATGACTTACTCCAAAAGAAAACAAAAACCTCCTTACACCAGCCAACCAAAGCAGAGACAGAATAGAAGACAGCCAGAGTTAAAGTAAAATCATTTTGAAAATATTTGCACAAGAAATTATTCTACTATATTACGTATCCTCTGTTTACAGTGACTTTCAGACATTCAATTCAGGAATAATGTGAAGAATGTGCCAATATAACCAGACACATAAAAAACATCACTTTTGCCCTAACTGGTTTGGCTCAGTGGATACAGCATTGGCCTGTGGACTAAAAGGTCCCAGGTTCGATTCCGGTCAAGGGCATGTACCTTAGTTGTGGGCACATCCCCAGTAGGGGGTGTGCAGGAGGCAGCTGATCGATGTTTCTCTCTCATCGATGTTTCTCACTCTATATTCCTCTCCCTTCTTCTCTGTAAAAAAAATCAATACAATATATTTTTAAAAAATCACTTTTTAGAGAAGAAACGACAACTAGAATTTGCTTCCTAGTGATAGCCTAAAACTATGTATGCTAGGGGGCGCTATTGAACAATTTTAGGGGTTGTGTTCATTGGTGTTCTTGGGATTTGCATGCAGTTGAGCTTTGGGGTAAGGAGAGCTTATAATTTTTAATTGAAACCTGTTTAACCTCAGCCTGGTAACTGTTAGTCAACACAATACTTTACTGCAGGAGAAATTTTAAAATAAGTTACATTCATTATATGTACAGTTCCTTCTTATTCATGCAGAGGCATTAATCACACATTATTTTCTCTTCCACCTGCAAATCTGAGAACTCAATTAAAAGATAATGAATTGGAGGTGTTAAACGCAAAGAGGGTGTCACTGTTTCTAGAGCATTATTGATGGTGAAAAGACTGTGTCTCGGGCAGTTAATAGAATCTGTGAGCTAAAGGAAGCACAGAACCAAATTAGTGGAACCAAATCATTAGCAATCAGGAAATCTTAGTTCTAACTCCGTTGCTCCACAATTAAGCTAAATTACCTAAGTACATGTTAATAAATCATGATGCCGTAAATACATAGGATTAGGAAGGTTAGAAAAGTACAGCAGTGCTTATGCTGAATGTGGCCACACATGCTCAGTCCAAAGCAGAAAACGGAATGTAGTTAACATATAAAAGGCCAAAGGACATGCAGACCCACATCCAAAGGCGATACAACTAGGAATTAATATACATCCTTCTATAAATGTAGGTAAGTATATATCTTTCTCTGAATTTTCAATAGTGGTCTAAAAATTTTTTTGTTCTGCAAACTGATGGTTGCCAGATGGCAGGGGTTGGGGGACTGGGTGAAAGAGGTTAAAGGGAATAAGAAGTACCAATTGGTAGTTACAGAATAGAAATGGGGATGTAAAGTACAGCATAGGGAATACAGTCAATAATATTGCAATAACTATGTACGGTGCCAGGTGGGTACTAGACTTATCTGGGGGATCACTTGGAAAGGTGTAAAAATGTCTAACCACTAAGCTGTACACCTGAAACTAATATAATATTAAAAGTCAACTGTCGCCCTAGTTGGTTTGGCTCAATGGATAGAGTGTTGGCCAGCGGACTGAAGGGTTCCCGGTTCGATTCCGGTCAAGGGCACATGCCCGGGTTGCACGCTCAGTCCCCATTGCGGGGGGGTGGGGGGGGGAGTGTGCAGGAGGCAGCCAATCAATGATTCTCTCTCATCATTGATGTTTCTATCTCTCTATCTCTCTCTCTCTCTCCCTCTCCCTTCCTCTCTGAAATCAATTAAAAAAATATTTAAAAAAGTCAACTGTCAATGAAAAAAAAATTTAAAGTATTTGTTCCAGAATTGTGCCCACAACACAAAATAATTTTAGGAGAAGCTGTTTAAAATTTTTTTGAATGAACATTATCTATTAAGTCCAGCACTGAACACATATGCAGAACTTTACCACTTGCTTCTTAAAAGGAAACGAAGTAGAACTGTCTACGCTGAAAGGCGCTGTGCGGAAAATAACAATTGACCGAGATATGACTGTGTGTCCCCTCATGGCTCATTCATCGCTTCTCCCCATGGAGGGAAGGACTTGAAGTTGAAGGCCATGCGTTAGGCACAGCTCTGATATGTTATGCAGCTCCTACAGCAGTTTAGGCAAAAGGAACTCAGTGAGCACTTTGTTGACTGAGAAGTTGTACAGACAGAAATGTGAGCTAACAAATGAGCCCCTGGAGTTCAGCCAAGTTCACGGGTGTACTCCTATGTAGTTCAGGGCAGGCTATGACGCTCCTAACTGTGGCTTAATAGTGGAGGTGAACAGCCCAACACCATTTCGCTAAAAGAACCGTTGACCTTCTTGAAAATTACTAAGTCAAACATAATCTTTTCCTCCCCGCTCTCAAGTCTCAAGTCCAAGATCATGATTGCTTACAATTAGGAGGCCTGACAGCTTTTGGAGTAGGATGGAGGTGAAGTGGATTTTCCTGCTACGCACGAAACCACAGGACTCATTCCATGTGTTCGTTTTTAAAAACCATTTAGTTTGTGCTTGGAAATAGCTTTCAGCGGCATACACAACACATAGGTCCTTTCTCAGCTGGCAACTTGGAAACTACTATTCTGGGACACAGACTA